GGAGCTGTATTTAGCTGTATTTCCAACCTTAGGCCCAACCACTCCTGCCTTTGCCCACTGGAAACTCCCGTAATTAACAGTTCCCCTCGAACTCGTCACATTATGACAGCTACACATCTTTGCAAGTCCTTTAGCTAAGTGCAATTAGCTTCTAATATTCATAAGCAAGCATCTGCTATGAATAACTACCTTTGTACATGGCAATCTTCTGGGGCTTGATACAGCAATGAAACAACCATGTTTTCCAGGTCTCAGTTGGATATCACCACTCTCTGAAAAGTATTTTCTGACCTCCTCCTACCTCCAGATGTTAGTACCTCATCCAAGAGTTTTCTTGCCTCAGATGTTAGATACCTACCAAGAGTTTTTCTTGTGTCTTCTATATCTAGCGTAGGCTTCTTGACACTTATTATGCCTTATTGAATTACTGATTTTCCTGTCACTCTCTTCCACTAGACTGTGAGCTCCATGAAGCAGAGTGTGTGACTTATTTATTTAGATATCCCAGTATTCAGCACAATTCCAATAAAAACACATAGGTTTTGTTGGATTAATGATTTCCTAAGGATCACATGATTAGTCAAAAGAGACCCAAGACAAAATCCTGGACTCCAGCCTCACAGTCAAGAGTGCTTCTTCACTATAGCTTCATCTGCCCTCTGGGTGTTATGCCATAACTAACTGTGAAGGATAGCAGCTCTGTGTTTTGTTTTGGAAAGGGCCAGTGCAGGTGTTGAATATCATCAGGAATGGTAGTGGAAACTCAAGAGAAACATAGCCCTAATCTTATATTGGAAACTATGGTGGATTCACCCCTCAGAGCCCTGTTTGTATGTTTTGAATCTCTGAATCATGGAATGCTACAATGAAATCAGCCTGACCACATGATGAAAACTCATCTCTAGTAAAAATACAAAACTAGCCAGGTGTGGCAGCATGCATCTGTAGTCCCAGATACTCAGAAAGCTGAGGCAGAATTGCTTGAATCCAGGAGGTGGAGGCTGCAGTGAGCCAAGATCATACCATTGCATTCCAGCCTGGGTGACCAGAGGGAAACTCCATTAAAAAAAAAAAAAAGTGGGAAGGACAAGTAAATATGAAATGGGTGTAGGGTATTATGACACTTACTCTTAATAAAGACTCTCAAACACTTATATAAGACAGAGCTAAGGTTACCCCCAAGTGTGTACACCACATCTCCAAATCAGGGAATCATGTGCAACTTTATGGACATAGTTAACATGCCAGTCTGTAAATAAGCCATGTGTCCCTAGAATTGTGGACGATGAGGTGAACATGGGGGAAATCTTTGAAATATGAGCATGGCTAAGTTAAGTCAAAAGTGGTGCCTGCCTATTCATTTGTTAAATAATCAACATGTAGAACTCATGCTTTCAAGAGGTAACACTAGCATGATACATAAGCAAGGTTATATGACCAAGGTTAACTTTGTTATTGTTGTCATGGAAGGTGTTTTAATTAGGATTGGGGCATCTTTTCATTTACATGAGATTATCTGAGACTCCAGGAGAGAAATTAAACAATTGCACAACAACTAAAAGATCCTGCCAAATACATGGACACAGAAAATGGTGCAGCCACTGTGGAAAACAGTATGGTAGTTCCTCAAAAACTCAAAATACAAGTACCATATGATCCATCCATTCCACTTCTGGGTGTATATATACCCAACACGATTTAAAGCAAGGACTTGAACACATTTGTACACCTATGTTCATAGCAGCATTATTCACAATAGCTAAAAGGTGGAAACGATCCAAATGTCCATTGACCTGTAAATGGATAAAATGTGGTACATCTAACAAAATATTATTTAGCTGAAGAACGAAGAAATTTCTCAGCTCAGGACCAGGGGTGCAATGGATAACGCATCTGATGATGGATCAGAAGAAAAAGGAAATTCTGACACATGCTATCACATGAATGAACCTTGAAGACATTGTGCTAAGTGAAATAAACCACACACAAAAGGACAAATACTGGTATGCCATATGATTCATATGGTAGAGTAGTCAAATTCATGGAGCTAGAAGAATGGTGGTTGCCAGGAACTGTGGGGAAGGAGAATAGGAAGTTAGTACTTAACGGGTACAGAGTTTCAGCTGGTGAAGATGAAGGTCTGGAGATGGATGGTGGTCATGGTTGCACAACAATGTGAATGTACTTAATGCCACTGAACTATACACTCAAAATGGTTAAAATGGCAAATGTTACGTATTTCTAACACAGTCAAAGAATATATATTTACATATGTGCAGACAATATGAGCAAATAAAGCACTGCTCTTTGACAGATAAAATGGGTTGAAAAGTCATCAGAAACAAAAGAGTAACTTTTTAAATTATGAAATATTTCATACCTACAAAATTAGATAAACGATGTAAGTATATGTACAAAAATAATAAACATCTAGACAGCACCATCCAGCTTAAAATACAGAACATTACGACTAGTCCCGAGACCCTTGTATCTCCCTGATGACATCCCTCTCCCTCCTCCTCCAGGGTAACCACCATTCTGAACTTGTATTTATCACTCCTTACTCTTTTTCATAATATTATACATCTGTCTCCATAAACAATATATTGCTTTTCCACCTACATGGTGAGACTCCTCCACAGGGATGTCTGTGGCATTACTCATTGAGAACTGTTGCTATTGTCTTAACAATTACAGCTTTCATCATGCTGTAGTGACCCTCTTTATTCCTAATTGTGCATTTTGCCTTAAAGTATCTTTTGCTTGGTATTAGTATGTCACCTTAACTTTTTTGGTTATTATTTACTTATTTATACCCTTTTTACCTCGAATCTTTCTGTGTCTTTGTTTTTTCAGGCGTACCTAGACCTGTATTTAAACTGGCACATTTAAACCCGTATATTTTTATTGTGATTACTGATATGTATGCATTATTTTCTACCATGTTATTTGTCCACTTTTCCTGTTTCTCTGCTCCTTTATTGCCTTCTTTTGATTAAGGTTTTTGTTTGTGTTTTTAAAAAATTCATTTTTTCCTCTATAGATTTAGTGGTTATATCACTGTTATAACTTTTCTAATGCTTTGCAAAGTCTAAAATTAATCATTATGGTATCCTCCTTTTCCTCCAAATAAAAGAAAATGGCTCAGACAGATGAGCAAAGGTGCATCCCGCTGGAGCTGCCAGAAATGCTGAAGAAGTTTGCCAGAGCCGTCATCCTGGCGCAGCCGGAGGACCTCCTCCAGTTTGGGGTCGAGTAAGTGCTCCTTTCTCTCCTTCACCCCTTAGAGGACCGGCCAGGAGAAAAGGTCCTGGACAACCGTGGAGGTTGTCATGGCTGCAGCCTGGGATTGGGACTAACTGGTATCATCTTTGTGGGTTTTAGGTCTTGCATTGCTTTGATGCTTTAAAATCCACTACATCTAACTGGGTGAGGATGGGATGCCTCCTCTAAGCAAGCCAGATTGAGCAGTAGGACGCCAGGTCAATATGCCGTGTCCTGGGGCAAGCAGCAAGAGTTATATGGACTGGTTTCACTCCAGCATATGCACACCCACCTCCTCCCTGCTCTCCTTTTCCCAGTCCCGGTGGAAAGAAGCGCTGGAATCTCAAAGCTTAATCTGCCCTTTCTTCATTCTCCTCTCACCACTGGATGGCAGCAGTGAAGCCTGGGAAGGGAAGGCAGTGCTAGGTGGATTGGGTGGGACTAGTCCAGCTAGTTCACCCTTTTAAGGAGACGTTTCTTCTCCTGCTGTTATACTTGGACCCAGCCAAAGACACTTTGAATCTTGTCTTTGAGGAAATTATGGTTATTTAGTGTTTCTGTCAAGTGATTTGTTCTGCCAACATCAAGATGTTCGCACAGTACACGTTGCATTCTGGAGAAAGGCCAAGCAGAGTTTTGAGGTCCTCAGGCATGGCTGGAAACAGTGTGCCTCAAACCTGGGTGCCTCCTTTCAGGAGAGACCTCCAAAGGTTGCTTAGTAGATGGAGCTTACACAACAGTTGCTACAGGCCTGGCTTGAAGCAGCTTTGCACAGAAAGCCTCTCAGCTGTGAAACTGCTTCTTAGACAAACTTGCTTGCTTGAAACTGGGGAATGAGGACTTGAGATAGTAGTCGGAAGATCACTAGACCTCACGGACCATTTTCAGGCTTGTTTTTACTGTTTGATGAATCCCTGCTTAGTAGGGTTTCAGTGGGAAAGGGAGAGTAAGGGAGGCTGTTCGAGAGAAAGCCAGTGAGTTGGGGAAGCGAAGATGCCCTCAGCCTGAGGTTGTGAGTGGGTGCACTGCGCAGATGGTAGGGAGAAAGTGTGGACACCTTTGAGAAGACACAAAATGTCACCTTAGAGGGGCCTTTCAGAGTCTCTGAGCCAGCGCTGTTGTGTTCCTGGGTTGGATTAGGATGCAGCTTTGCAATTAGAAGGAAAACAAGCCAGTGGTGCTCATAAAAAGAAACATAACTGGGGGTTGCTTTGCCTAGTAATGAGCCCTGTTTAGTTTTCCTTTCTAAATTTTATATATTGCCTCTAAGATTGAACTTTAGCATCAGAAGACTAATTTATTTTGGCATAGTCAGATAGACAGACTTTATCTTATCCATTAGTTTCAAATCCATTTCCTTGTTCTTGTGCTGCTGTTTTATAGTAAACAATTGCTTAGTATTGTCCCTGACATTGATGTAAGAAGGAATTCCACTATTGTAGCCTGCTTGCCCGCATATTGTATCATGTGCTATACATTTTTTAGACATCTATGAAAACTTCATTTGTAGTTTAAACACAATGAAAAAGGAGAGCATGACCTAAGAGCCCCTCCATTCTATACAGACATGAAAAGCACCTCTCAGATGGTTTTAGGTGACTTACTTAAAACCTGTAGCATTTCAGAGAATAAAACTCTACAAAGTATTTCCAAGACAAAATATGCATTTAATTCATTGCAAGTAAGAATTTCCCTACATATGTGTTGTCAACGAAGAAACCTGTGATCAGCCATCGGCAGAACATGTACTTATTTGTCCTCTGGTGGGCATGTGTTATAACACAAAACATTTGTGGTTCACGGATCGTCAATAACCAGGCTTTTGATGGAGACAGACCCTGCCATACAGTACTGGTGACCCATGTCAACGGCTCACGTCTGTTCCCTGCTGCAGGCAGCCTCTTTTCATCTTATCTCAATGCTGAACAGAATTCAGTACTTGTTCCACATTGCCCCAAAACAAAGTCCACTCCACAAAATATTGAGGAGCAGGCATATTTGACTGAAAATTTTGAGAGAAGATAAACAGTTTTCTTTCACAGGCCCCACATAACTTAAGATCATCTCAAACCTTCTTTGGCTTGTCTTCTCTCCTGAGCCTCGCACAGTGCCCTGCCAACCCTTCTCCCTTCCCTCTTGAAGCCCTGAGTCTCACCATCTCCAGCCAGAAACCCTTCCTTATTCACCCCTAGGACACTTCCATCTCTTCCTCTTCCCTCCTTTTTTGTTTCTTCAGAGATGGAGGCCTCACTGTGTCACCCAGGCTGGAGTGTAGTGACACAATTACAGTTTGCAGCAGCCTCAAACTCCTGGGCTCAAGTGGTCCTCCAACCTCAGCCTCCAGAGTCACTGGATTACAGGCTCTCGCCACCATTCCTGTGCTGTCTTCCCCGTTCTTATGTACATTACTTTAGTTATCTTCCAACTTCTCTTCCCAAGGTTACGTATACATATGTAATATACTATCTATTTGTGTGTACAAAACACTCAGAAATGACTGGAAAAAAAACTTGACCCCAATATGCTCCAGGAATTGCATACCCAAACCTTTGGTTCTTCCTCATCCTTAGAGAAGAACAAAGCTTTGTATTCTCAAAGAATTCTCTATGCCCTAAGTGGAAATTAACATATTTAGGCTTTTCCCAGATGTAAATGAACTAAACACACTGACACATAGAAGCCACACAACGAGGGTTCCTTCTCTACCTCCTTCCCTCAGAAAAAGGGGGAAGGATTGCTAGAACAGCCAGAGGCCACTGGCATACAGGATGCTCCTCCTACTCTCTGACTTTTTTTCTTGTAGTTATTTTGGGGCCCTGTGCCGTGGAGAGAGTCCTCCGGTGAGAGAGCAGTCTGAGCAAGTCGGTAACTGGACACAATTAACACCGGAGCTTTTAAAGATCCTGCATTGTCAGGTAAGGGCCCTGCTGCAGCATTGAGGGGAATGTAGGGACAGTGTTGAGGCTGGGTGGGTACAGACGAAAGCCCACTGTTGTTCTGCCAGTCAGCTGACCGCTTAGAACCAGCATAAAATACACTAAACCATGGACTGAAAGTAAATCTTCCCTTAGAGAAATGGGAATAATTTTGAAATAGGCTGTCGGCTGAGTCACTGGTGGGGTCATCCCAGATTTCCTTGAAGCTGGCAGAATGTACAGGGGTTCAATGCAATGCTAATCCCATCTCTCTGGTTATAGGTCCTCAGTCACTCGACAGTGTCTCCCTTCCTGATCAAGACCAAGATATGATGCCAGTCACAGTTCAGGGAAGGGCATATTTTAGCTCCCCAGCTATCCCAGGTCCAGACATAGTTTTTAGCTTTTAGGGAGAGGCTGTGAGACTCTTCACAGCCACATCATCCTAGGAGCTGCCTGTTGAATGGATGCATGAGGAGGGTCCGGCTTGAGAAAGTTTGTGGTTTGGCCAATTCCCAGGAAATATGGTTGAGCATCACCATACCCTGCTTTATGATCCAGGACAGAGAGGTTTGGAGTGATTTAGGACTAGCTTGGCTAACTGCTTAGTCCCAGAGGCTTAACATTTCACTAGAATCAGAGGGTCAGGAAAGCTGTTGGAGCACGTCATTGGGGCATCTGTGCCCTTATTACATTGGTGGCCAACAGCCACTCACCCTCCTGCCCTTTATCCACCAAGTACCTTGTGCAGTGAACATGACAGAGCTATAAAGTACCTGGAATCGAGCAATAAAAGGCATCCAGACCAGATCCCCGCGGGTCAGCCACATACCCCATATCGCTGCTGGAAAAGCATGAGGGATGCACTTGAGGTCTAGAGCTAAGAACTCAGCGCAATCGGAAAGAAAGAGACCTATGTCTTGTTGTGGTTTTACCATTAGTTAGTGGTCTCAGGTAAGCACTCTACCTCTTGGTTTTGTTTTCAGGCTGTTCTACCTGTCATATAAGGAATAAAACAATTTAGGAATACAGTAAGAGATAAAAGCATCACAGGAAAATTAAAATATCATATAAATGTATATCTTTTGCATAATTCTAACACCTAAAGTTTAAAAATTAATAAATTATGTATCAGCACTAGGATTTGCAAAGATAACTGCCACACAGAGCTATCTTGTGCCTTCCTATCACCCCTTTCCTGCCCCTTGCCATGTGCTGGGAGATGTGGACCTGGCCTGGGGGCAGGGTGTTCCCCAGGGTCTTGCCTCAACTTCTCCCACATCCTCTGTGTTGTGTCTGTCCCCTGCCCTGCAGGTTGCCGGCAGACTGATCGTCCGTGCAGATGAGCTGGCCCAGACGTGGAAGGCGCTGAATCTCCCAACACATCTGTTTAAGAGTGTGATGAACATGGGTCGCTTCACGGAGGAGATCGAGTGGCTGAAGTTTTTAGCCCTCACTTCCAGTGCTCTGGGAGTTGTAAGTTGGCCTGACTGATTTTTGTTCCTGAAGGGGAAAACTCCCTCTGGGCCTGGAAGGGCAGTGCATCTGTACACACGGTCTACTCTCCAGAGCTGATGATAAACACGCCTCTTCTCATCTTGTCCTTCTTTCTAAATCAAAGTCATTTCAGTGCTCATCAGGCAGAAGCAGTGTTTAGAAGGAGGAGAGAGAGAGGGAAACACTATCATCAGGCTCTGGGGAGAACTGACTACAGTGTAACTTTTGGATTATTTATTAATATTGCCCTCAGATGTCTTTTTTTCTTTGTTTTAGCTTTTGTTTTGTTTTTTCATTTTTTTAGACTTTTTGCCCTCAGATGTCTTTTAACTCCACTCCCTCCATTCATATTCCCAGAGACAACCAAGAGCCAGCTGTAGAAGAAGACTTCCAGACACCTAGAATATACATTAATAGACACTTTTTAAAAGGGGTACAATCTTATAGAAAGCTACTGTGTAATAAACAGAATTGGATGCAAAACTCAGACATAAGGAAGCAAAAACAGGAGAGATGAGACTATTTCTGAATTTAGTCATGACATCTCCATGGATGCAGGATGTTCATACAGGTTCACGCCTTTTCCAAATTTGACTTGTTTGATATTGGAAAAGCCATTTTACTGTTTTGAAGCAAAATGTGCTGAAATCAGTTTATATGTACAGACATTTAAAGCCTGGGTATCTTAGATGTGGACTTATATCGTTAGACATTGTTAAAATAACAAAATCAATCAAAAACATGTTTTTGTAAAGGAATCCCTGAGATACACACAAGTTTAAAAATTATTGAGAAAGTAATTATCTCTGCCAAAACCAATTTTTATAATGGTATAAAAATGTAGTTGGAATCATTCAGCATTTCTAAACATCATCTTGTTCTCAAATATGCTTGGATTGCATATTTGACAGTTTGTTCCTGAGAAAATTTAGCAGAAATCTTGTAGCCCAACTTTTCCTATAGATTCCCCTACAGCCTTCATCATAATCATTTCTTTAGAGAGGAATAACAAGAGTACATTTGTGGCTCTTTTTTTCTTCATTGTCCTTTATAGCATTTATATACTGAATAAATCACTATCCTCCAAGGAGGAAAGGAAAGGAAGCAGCAGAGGCCTGTGAGTTTTCAATCGGGACTGGGGAAAACCACAAATGGGAAGATAAAAAAGTGGACATATTTTATTAAATTCTCACAGGGTTACAGATTTTTTCACAGCACATTTGGAGACGTTTTAGGGGAAATGTACCTTTAAAATTTTATCTGTAGTTAATTCTGATCTTCTTGATCTACCTCACCCACAAAGGGTCAAATAAGAAAATAAATAAATTCAGTCCAGTCCTGAAACTTTAGTCTAATGCAGTAACTGAAACAGCCTAAAGGTAAATTTCCCAATGTCTCAGGTTTTTCTTCACCGTGCTCTCTTCTCCAAGATGGCAGCTGAATGTAGACAGAGAAAGGTGACTCTAGGACCATAGAGCAGTCGAGTGAAGGGTTTCCCACATCCTCAGTCTTCTCTGGCATCTCTGGTCTCCTTGGCAGTGCCCATCTGTTTTGTCGCTCACTGCTTGCAGCTTAAGTTTTTGGTCTCATCTCTCCCAGATTGGTGAAAACCTGACGATGCCTCCCCCACCAGCTCATTTCAGTTCTCAGTGGTGTTGGCGGCCTCCTTGAGTCTCTGCCAGGCTCACCTATCTGCTCCCTGGCTCTGGTGGTTTACTTCACAGCCCTGACCAGTTAGTGATGTGTCTGAATCCTTCCCTTATCCTCATACCTCACAGTAACAAAGAGTGACTTTGGAAAGTCAATTTCCAACCCTCCCTCTGCTTAGCCCACTGTGTAGATGCTAGGTTTCCTCTGATGTAACTGTCTCCCAGACTGGAATGGGGAAACCATGAGGTGAATTGCATCTTTTTACTTTTCTTCTAAAACAGGGAGGTGGGATTAAATGTTACATGAGGTTCTTCTACCTCTGACATTGTGATTCTATCCCTGCTTCTCTGCTTCCTTTGAGATACCCTAAGGCCTACCTCTGAATAACAGTGAGCTCTTCCAATTCCAATAGGCCTTGAGATATCTGACTTTGCTCCTCATCATCCCCATGTCAAAGAACCCCTAGAAGTGGCAGGGCACAGTGGCTCATGCCTGTAATCCCAGCACTTTAGGAGGTCGAGGGGGGTTGATCACCTGAGGTTGGGAATTTGAGACCAGCCTGACCAACATGGAGAAACACCATCTCTACTAAAAATACAAAAAATTGGCCAGGTGTGGTAGTGCATGCCTGTAATCCCAGGTACTCAGGAGGTTGAGGCAGGAGAATCACTTGAACCCGGGAGGTAGAGGTTGCAGTGAGCCGAGATCATGCCATTGTACTCCCACCTGGGCTACAAGAACGAAACTCCATCCAAAAAAAAGAACCCCTAGAAGTAAAGTCAGCCTGGAAGTTAAGTCTGTAAATAAAGGGTGCCCTACAAAACCAGTAATCATTATATTTATTTGCATCACATTGGACTATTTCTGGGATCTTAAATGTGGGGCTGGTCAGTGGTATGGTCTCAATGTTTGTGTCCCCTCAAAATTCATATGTTGGAATCTCAACTTCCAAGGTGATGGCCTTAAAAATAGGGCCTCTGGGAGCTGATTAGGTTATGAGGGTGGAGCCGCATAAATGGGAAGTGCCTTTATAAATCAAGTTCCCCCTCCACCAAGTGAGGACACATAGAAAACATCATTTATGAGAAACAGGCCCTCACCAGACAGCAAATCTGCTGGCACCTTGGTCTTGGAGTTTCCAGACTTCAAAACTGTAAGCAATAAATTTCTGTTGTTTGTACATTACCCAGTCTAAGGTATTTTGTTATAGCTGAGACTAAGTCAGGGGTCACCATTTGGTGGAGATGTTGCCTCCTAGTCAATTCATATATCCTTAGAGGCAAGCTCAGAATTTCTCTTTCCTTTGCCAATTCAACAGCAAGACACGATCTCTGTGCCATCTAGAAAAGCCAGTTTGTTCCTTGTAGAAGAGTCTAGTGGCAGGAATTTTTTACTCTGATAGGTAATAGGCACATTTACTCTTCTTTAGCTCTCTGGGTCTGACAGACATTATTGAGAATGCAATGGCATGCAGACCTGTATTCCTCTTCCCTTCAGCACTCCTTCCTCTGGACTGGTCTATGCCACCTCCTATTCCACTGAACTGATTAAAAAGGAAGAGACCACATATGTAGCAAATAATCATGTTCACTGGAAGGAATGACATATTTTGTAGGCCAGTGATTCACATTTCAAGGCTTTCACCTCTGACTTTGAAAATGAAGCTCGCAAGATGCTCAAAGACTACCTCTGTGAAGTGGATTCCAAAAAAATATTGTGCAGGAGAATGAAGATCTGTTTACTTTAGATTTATGTCAGTTTACTAAATACCTCCAGTCCAAAGAGTTATTTATCCACTCATCCATTTATTAAATCTTAAAAATTTAAAAATCTTATGAGAGCAATAGAATTTGAAGGTTTGTTGTTTGAATAATCAATAAAAGATGATAATGTTTAGCATTGAGAAAGCACCTATGTTAGTTTGTTAGGGCTGCCATGACTTGGTGGCTTAAACAACAGAAATTTGCCGTCTCACAGTGCTGGAGCACAGAAGTTCTGAGAATGGCCGGGCACAGTGGCTCAAGCCTGTAATCCCAGCACTTTGGGAGACTGAGGTGGGTGGATCACGAGATCAAGAGATCAAGACCATCCTGGTCAACATGGTGAAACCCCATCTCTACTATAAATACAAAAAATTAGCTGGGCATGGTGGCGCACACCTGTAATCTCAGCTACTCGGGAGGCTGAGGCAGGAGAATTGCCTGAACCCAGGAGGCGGAGGTTGCAGTGAGCCGAGATTGCGCCATTGCACTCCAGCCTGGGTAACAAGAGCGAAACTCTGTCTCAAAAAAAAAAAAAAAAAAAAAAGTTCTGAGAACAAGCTGTCAGCAGGATCGCTTTCTTTGGAGGTGTTTCTCCTTGGCTTAAAACTGGCCAGCTTCTCGAACTGTTTCCCTCTGTGCCTACATGTCTGGTGGCTCTCTCTTCATGTCCTAACTCTTCTTCATATAAAGACACTACTGACTTCATTTTAACCTATCTTTTTAAAGGTCAGATTTTCAAATACAATCACATTCTCAGATTCTGGGGTTAAGGTTTCAACATATGAATTTTAGGGTGAACACTTCAGCCCATACCAGGACCCCATGGGACAGGGCAACAGAACAAAGCACTAGGTGTGCAGATTTTTTTTTTTTTAACAGAAACAGAGAGGGTGAGCTGGGTGGAAATAATGAAGTTCGGAGTGTGCTTCCAAATCTGCTCCAAACCATTCTCCCGCTGACCTCGTCTCACATGCATGACTTACCATCCTCCCAGACAGCCTCATACATACTACTTAGCTCCAAGCCTGCCCTCTCACCCGCTCTCAATTAGGTGGAAGTGCCTAGAAGATGCAGTGTTACACAACACTTTCCATGAGAGGACCCCCAGGGGCAGGGGAGAGGAAAGGAAGGTGGCCTGCTGCAAACTCCCCATTTTTTTGACATCATGTGGTTTACTGAATAATCTATTTATAAAATTACCATGCTTATTAAATGCAAATCAACAAAATTTAAATATTAACTCATTAAAAATTAATAATTATTACACACCACAGTTAGAGAAGCGCCATCTAGGCAATCATTCTATTCTGGGAGTGGATGAGAGGAGAAGAGCAAACATCTACTGCTAAGGCAGGACAAGTCTCCTCTAGCAATCATGTGGGAAGATACAGCAGCTGCTTTTTCATTCACCCAGTCACACCTGAGTCACCACTCAGGCCTGCTCTTTCACTGATTCCTGGAAGAGTGTGTGTCAGGACGATCTGTACATCTTCAATTTCAGTAAACCACCAAGATCTATATGCTGACCTTCATTTCACAACTGTTTCACCTGTAAAATTTATTCCAAGGGTGGGTTTATTTAAAAACATGAGATTAGTTCTGAGCATGACCTTTTAATGTTCAAGTTTCACTGTAAGGAGGGTTTGCATCTGTAGTAACTCTTTTATTAAAATTCCTGGCACTCATTGTCTACCAGTATTTCCCCAGCAATAAAAGGGTTTGTATTATGCAATATAAAATAAGGCACTAGGTGATTCTATTTAGATAGACCCGTATGTTTTAGAAGAACATTTATCTTGATGCTGAAGACCATTTTTCCAGTATCTTCCTGGGACTCTATCTTCCTGGGGAAATTACCCTTCTCTTTCTTACCTTCTTCTCCTCTACTGTGGCGTTGCCACAAGTATCTTGCTGCAGTATATAGGCTAGACTATTTATCTCAGCCCTTTAGTGATAAGATTGGGGGGTAATAATAAGAAATAATTCTAATTATATAGAATGCAAATCAACTTCCCTCCTTTAGTGTGAGTTTATTTGGACTAAAGTAACAAATATCTTAAAGTACTTAGGAATTTATAAATTTAATTCCTTGAGTAGTCTTCCAACAAAGAAAGGAGAGAAAAAAATAAAGACACCCAATACTTAATATTTTTTAGAATGAATTAGTGACATTTCAATGTAAAAATTTCAAGCTTTCTAGAATCTTAAATTGTTCCCACCTCATTTTATAAAAGCAGTATTTTTGTTTTCTTTCTTGTATCTAAACAGATCTCAGGACTATTGCCTGGAAGGGTAACTTCTCCTCATTTTATCTAACTTTTATAGACTATCACAGACACTCTCACGTTACTGTGTGAGGTCTTATGTGACCACGATGGTGGGCCACCCCGGATACCTTTCAGCACGTTCCGGTTTCTCTACACGTATATTGCCAAAATGCTTGGTGAGATCTCTGCTTCACACGTCAGCAGGATGCTAAACTACATTGAGCAGGATGTGTAAGTTAACTTTTACAAAGGAGAGGTGAAAGAATACCAGGATAACAAATCTAACAGCTCAAGATAGAGTGAGATTATTATATTATATTGCTCTGGGAACAGAAAAGTATTGTGAGGAACACGAAATATGGATCTGAAACAAAAGGGAAAAGGGAAGGAGAAGAGGAAGAAAAAGAATTATATAGGACAATAATTCTTTGAGTGCTACTGAGACTAGCAGTAGTGACAGCAGCAGCACCTGAGAACATGTTAGAAATGCAGAATTGCAGGCTACACGCTGGACCTATGGAATCATAAACTCTAGGGGTGGGGCCTAGGAATCTCTGTCTTTATAAGCCTCCCTAGTAACTCTGACTCATGCTCTGCTTTGACCAGTGGAACAGCAGTGGAGGAGGAGGAGGAAGAGGAGGATGATGATGATGAGGAGCAGCAGCAGGCAGTCAAGGGTTAAGAGAAAAAGAGGCCAGGCATGGTGGCTCACACCTGTAATCCTAGGATGGGTGGATGGCTTGAGCTCAGGAGTTCAAGACCAGCCTGAGCAATATGGTGAAACCTGGTCTTTACTAAAAATACAAAAATTAGCTGGGTGTGGTGGCGTGTGCCTGTACCATTTAATTGGGAGGATGGCTTGAGCCCAGGAGGTAGAGGTTGCAGTGAGCCAAGATTGCACCACTTACTCCAGCCTGGATGACAGAGCCAGAGCCTGACTCAGAAAAAACAAAATTAAGAGAAAAAAGATCAACAGCAGAATTTGAAATGAGAGAATTGTTTGTACATTGTCTTTCTTAAGATTAACTGTCAATGAACTAACTGCAGATAAACCTTTTTCCAAACAGAATTGGTCCTGATGGTATCATCAGAGTGAATGACTTTACCCAAAACCCTAGGGTTCAGCTGGAGTAAAAGCACAATTTTGGCAGTTTTAAAGGAAGATGCAGAGATGACTGTACTTCAGAATGACTGAAACCCATATGCCCTCCAAAATCAATCATCAGAGTGAATGACTTTACCCAAAACCCTAGGGTTCAGCTGGAGTAAAAGCACAATTTTGGCAGTTTTAAAGGAAGATGCAGAGATGACTGTACTTCAGAATGACTGAAACCCATATACCCTCCAAAATCAATTATCTTGTACAACTGGCACACACGAATAAACAATTAAACAAACATGAAATCAGAAATGTGTGGAATTAAGATGTGAAATTGTTGGAACAAAACATCTTCATTCCCAGGAGATTAGTATTCCTCCCATGTGGACACTGAGTAAAAGGGGCTGACAAAGCATGGATAGAAATGCATCTCCAATCAAAGCCAGACAGTCCGATTTTAAAAGGTAGACTGTTAACCAGACACAGTGTGTTGTTCTGTGATTGTTAGGCATCATTTAGATGAGTGTCTTTCATGTGGCCGACTGAAGTTTTTACCAGTTTATTTCTCCATTTGTTGGTACTGTGCTAGTCATTCATTCATATTCTCACTCAGCAATATTTATTGAAGTTAGCTATGTGCCAGGAATAGGCTTGCCAGAAAAAATACAGGACACCCAGTTAAACTTGAATTTCAGACAAACAACAAATAAGTTTTCTTTGGTTTTTGCTAAACCTGGCAACATTCCAGGAACTATGCAGGCTTCTGAGCACATACAAATAAGTAATATCTGAATTCTGCCTTCAGGGAGCTCACAGTCTAATGCTAACATAAGATGAACATAAATCACTTTCATGCAAATGGCTTTGAGAAGAACTAACAGTATTAGAAAGTGTCAGTGTCAATGGACTTTTCTGAAACCATATACAGATGTCATGGAACCCACCGGAGAAAATCCCCTACACGAGCCTAAGACCTTCTGACAATGTCTGAAAGATTTTCCTTTCTCAAAGGAAACAGATGAGATTAACAGGCTGTGATTATGGTTCTCTTTTTTTTTTTGAGACGGAGTTTCACTCTTGTTACCCAGGCTGGAGTGCAATGGTGCGATTTCGGCTCACTGCAACCTCTGCCTCCTGGATTCAGGCAATTCTGTCTCAACCTCCTGAGTAGCTGGGATTACAGGCACGCGCCACCATGCCCAGCTAATTTTTTGTATTTTTAGTAGAGACGCGGTTTCACCATGTTGACCGGGATGGTCTCGATCTGTTGGCCTCGTGATCCACCCGCCTTGGCCTCCCAAAGTGCTGGGATTACAGGCTTAAGCCACTGCGCCCAGCCCTGATTATGGTTCTTAATGTCAGGTGTGCCAAAGAGGCTGGGTCAGTTCCTTCTATTTGTTATACTGTCCCCTCTTAAAAGTTGCTTTTGCTCAAAAATCATGTTATATGCGTATATCTCTCTATATCAATTGAGGAGAAATTTGTCTATTGTCTAAAGGTAAGAGGAGATTGTGATTGGATGTTACCATCGTCCTCGATTTCTGACTAGAGTGAAACAATAAAAGGGAGTGAAACAAACTCTTCCCCCACAGTACTGAGCTGCACCTGCAGGGATGGGCAACAACTAATCCTAGTGGCTGTCTACCTTCCTAGCCAAAGCGGCCCATCATTTCTCTCTGCTCTGGAACCTGAGGCTGTTTGAGAAGGCTGAAGCACTACAGGTGAAACCTGGCCCTATAATAAATCAGGATTAGAGAATGAGCAAAATCCTTTAACCTGCCCCAGATTCTTGGTGTCTCTCAGTTTCTCTTTCACTGTGGCCAAAGAACTGACATATGGTCTTGTCTGCAAATAGGGAATGACGGGGTATGAAGAGACAGTCCAATTTGAAATACTGTAAATAACAAATTAGGATCATAAATGTAACAAAAGCGAAAGAGTCCTTTGTACATTGGAAAACAGGTTGAAATCAGAAACTAAGTCCTGGTAGCCTTGAACACAACCACTCAAGAGTGAAGCTAATGAAATTCCAACAAAGTGTATACTGGACACAGACACGAAGTTACTGGTGCTGTAGCTATCTGTGCTTACCAAGACTAAGCACAATTGGCAATACCATTGTTGCAAAGCCAATTGCTCTTCTTTTAAGCCACCACTTTGGTGTGCACCATCTTCCTCCTCTCCTACCACGGCAATGCTTGCTCCAAGCTATTGATATTGCTATGCCACAGCTGCTCACCAGGGACACAGTATTTACAGGACATCTGCGAAATCAAGCTGCAGTCACCCCAAGAATGGAAAACAGCTTTGTGCTTTGCCCTCTGAGTTATGCTGTATTAACAATATTACAAACACTGTATTAATGATAATAGCCAACATTTATTAAGCACTTACCATGTGTAAGGCACTGGGTACAGTGCTTTATATACATTCTCAAATTGGTCCTTACAATATGACCTTATGAAGTCATTGTCTCCATTATCAAGTCAGTGTCATCTCTAAGAAACAGTCTTAGATAAATTAAGTTGTTCAATGTCACTAGTGAGAAGGAATCTGAATCCAGATCTGTCTGACTCCAAACCTATGATGCCTTGTATACATCCTCAGTGCCTAAGTATGGATTCCTCCTACCCTCCCATCCCCACCTGAAATAATCCCTGGGACAGAGATTTACATGCAAATAGTTTATTTCGGAGGCGATCTCAGGAACAGTGGAACAGGGATAGGAGTAAGATATAGTGATGGGAAGAAAGCCAATAAATGGTGTGTTGTCCAGCCAGTTACCCCTGTGCCCCAATACTGCTGAGGAACTCTGGGAGACAGCATAGAACACATCTCAGAGTTATCCCAATCAAAGGGGTGAGGAAGCTCTTCATCCATCACTGGATAATCCCCACCTGTCATTGACTGAGGGCGTCTTCCAGGGGCATTAGTGTTCTGCCTTTCCAGCTTGCCTCAGCTTGCTCCTTTTGCTCCAAAAAAAAGGCTCTCAGGCAGGAAGCCACCCACATCTGCTACACTGCCTTACAGATATTTTAATAAAACAAAATCTTAACATTTTAGTCACTGTTAATGTTTCTCTTTGGGTCAGGCACAAGTCTTCAGGGTCTGCAGGGCAATAAGTGACTGTCATTGTGCTGTATTAAAATTCATACCTGACCCACAAACATGGCACATTGTCCCCAAACACTTCTTCCTTGTGATAAGATTATTCCAAAGGGGGTCTCTTGATCCTTGCTGCCAACAGATCCTTGTCAGGCCCATCCCACTGGCTTTCCTATAATAATCAGCAATATCTATAGAGTCCTAGAGTGACCCCAGTTAAACTGTCAAATGACGGCCCTTGTAACATATGGTTTGTATTTCTCCTTTAAAAATTTTTTCAGGAAGCAATAAAATCAGGATTTTATGGAGCAAAAACAGTGGGCTCTTTCTTTCCTAAATTAAGCTGTTTTGATTAAAGTGAAGACTGCAGATACATAAGCTTCAGTGGGAAATGCAAAGATTATGTCTTAATTCCATTTTGTCTATGCACCATGCCCTTCTTATCCTTGATGCTCTTTCACCAGGGACCTACCATCTCTAGTTAACCGACAACTTTCAGGATCATCAGCGTCCTGCAACAGAAGGAGCTGGACAACCCAGTGTGGAAGGCTGGTTTCAAATTAGGTTAGAATAGGAATCTTAACCTGAAATCCTTGGAGAGGCTCCTGAACGCCTCTGATAATATATATATATATATATATGTATGTCGACAAAATGTGCTCATTAGCATTTTTCTGAAGAAACAATTATAAAGCTTTGAGCAATTTCTCAAAGTTATATATTATCTCAAAAGGCCAAGAATCTCCAGGTTCAAAATAGCCTCAAAGAGCACTAAGGGGCTTGGGGAAAGGCAACAGCGCAGGCCCTCAGATCTTTCCAAGCAGAACTGAGCTCATGCTCCCAACATGTGGCTTCTTATCCACAGCCTCTTACTTTTTGAATCTTAGATCCTGGCCATAAATCTGTGTTTTTAGTTTAGATCTTCATATACTTTCAACTTTGGTCATTTCCTATAAACTGGAACATGGTCAAACCTGAATGGAGACTTTCACACTTCAGAGGTGAGCCAATTGGCAAAGTCATCGGTCCAATGTGCTGAACTATGAAAGACTAGACAGATAAGCAGAGTTGTGTATCCATGGTACTAGAGGGACTAAACCTCCAGACCAGGCTCAAAGGGCTAGTCCTGGATAATCCTGAGCTTCAGACATTCAAGTAGCTGTCAGCCCTGATGCACCAAAGCAGTCTAAATAATGGTGATTCATTGATTTATTCAACAAATAATTAAGAAATTCCTACTATGTGCAAGGGACTGGGCTAGGCACTGGGGACACTACTCTGAACAAGGTGAGGTCCCTGTTTTCATAGAGATTAAATTCTACTTAGCAAGACAGACATTACATAACTAATCACAAGTTTATAACTGTGAGAAACGATGCTACTACATAGTAGTATGGGGCACACAGCTTATTTGCAGGGGCAGGATAGAGAGGTTTTCCTGAGGAAGTAATATGAGAGCAACTTCTGAAGCCACAGACAACTAGAAAGATGTACTGCAGTCCACACGTCTTTGCCAAGCTCCAGGCTCAACTATCCAGCAGCTAACTTTTCTTGGATGACTCCAAAGTACTACCTAATTTAACATATCCAAAATTGACTTTCCTGGTTTGCATTTTTTCATAATGAAATGTTGGAGAGAAATGAGTTCACAAGCTTCCTTCCTAAATGTGGATCTCTCCCACCACCCACCAAGACACAAAACCCAGAAACCAGGGTCAACAAATACCTCCCCTTTGTCTTACTTTCCAACTCTATCAGCAAGTCCTCTCCATTTTCTATGCATCTCTCAAATATGGCTTCTTCATATTCCCTCACCACCACCTCCCTTAGATCCCCTCATCCCCTCCCAGCTACCAATATAGTTCATCTGGATTTCCTACCAGTCTGGTCCTCACAGGAAACAGAAGACAATATAGATTTTGAAGATAATTAGAAGGTTTACAGAATAGACAAGGAAAACAACAAGGGGGTTGAGGCACCCAAGGACTAGCAAACCATTATCACCCCTAAGACTAAAGGGACAAAGGGAAGGATGTTTTATTAGAGTGTGAGAAAACTGGAACTCCAGGGACTCCCCTAAGGATGCAGAGGGTGATGGATCAGCCGAATGTGCTGAGATAGAAGTATCCCATTCTCTCCCTCTTCTCTTCTATTGACTAAACAGAACCTGAAGCTGGAGGGCATGTCTGAGTGATGTCAG